GAAGTGTGACAGGAAAAATCTAACCACTATTTAGGGAATCTGTGGCCCTCCAAATGACACAGAACTTCAACTCCCTTCATCAGTGGCCTTTTGCTATGCTTACTGAGGCTGATGGGAGCTGGAGACCAAGTTCCCCTTTCCTGGTCTGTAAAGAACTATAAAGTCAAATACTTGAACTTGAAAGAATGCTTTGTGGACCCAAGCACAGCAGGCTGGAGGCCACTCGGTGTGGGGAACATTTGGAAATGTAGGAGCAGAAAAAATAAGGCTATACCGGCTTGGAATCGAAATGGCAAAAACTTTATTTATTACAGATGTAAGTTTTGGCATAGGCATTGAGTATGTAACCTGAGTGCTGGCTGATAACTGTGTCATGGTTGATCCTTGAGATAAGGATGCCTCTATGATGCAAATCACATGGAGAGATCCCACCAGGTCACCATTTTTAAGTGTCCTATGGCTCGCCAGCCCCCCACCTGGGCATTCAAACAGAATCCTAGCCTTCGATGCCTTTGCTGGGGGACCCCGAATTTTGATCCTTGATCCAAGGGTGGGACACACCTTCCGTTAACTTTAGACTAAGGATCCAACCCAATGCATTTTACTTCCAAAACTTGTGACAGTTGCTATGAAGAAGGCAAAAACCCCAGACAAGCCCAGTTTGTCTGCAGGCAGTTTCCTCCCAGGCCCTGAATATCAAGTAATTCAACAGCAAGGCCATACATATACACTGCCTGCTTACCTCCAGGCAGAACCAGAACATACAGGGTGGGCAAGTGGAACATCTCATTCCTAACTGTGCTGCCCACTTGCAGCGCAGCTGAATTTTATGCCCTCTTGGCAGACCAGGTCCATTGCCAAAGCACCATCACGCCCACTAGGGCCATGATTGACCTGATCAAATTTAGAATTTTGGCAGGCAATCCCACTAGCCTCAGTGGCTGGTGTCAGCCAGCTGTGTGGCAACTCATTGTATCCCTCGCCTCAGCTCCCCAGTGGCCACACCGGGGCACAACTGCCCCTGCCCCTGGTGCTGACTGAAAATGGCAAGCAGTCTTTGGGATACAACACCACTATGTTGCTAGAGCAAAACTTTGACAAGTCACCTTTGGAAAACTGACATCAACTGAATATATTTTCTCCAACACATTATATCAGACAATATTAGGTTATTATTACACTGATGGTGTTTTAGTTGCTGTTGATTACTATGACAGTTTCTCCTCTACCATCCTAAGCATGCCATTCATGCTGCTGACATGACATTTTCAGAACTGTCTAAAACATTTTTAAAACAAACGATCTAAATTGGAAGCTTAAAGTTAAAAATGTATTTCATGAACTATCATCTATGAATTTTCCTTGTGAGATATCAACAAAGGAAACCAACATGAGGGATGCATGATGAGATGATTGATGAAAACCAGAAATGTTAGGAGAAATCTAATGATTTGCAATGACCGTTGCAGTTGTCTGCTTTGTTTCTTCTCCGATTATTCAGCTTACTGTACAAGGAACTGAGAGATAAAGTCTAAGTTTCACAATGTGAGACAAAAGTTTCTCTAAGCTGACTGTTATTGTTATTTTTTCTTGCCATGGTTGTGATACATTTGAATATCAATCTGCTTTTTCCAGATACTTGTCGGGTTGAACATGTTCCTAGGATGCCTGCTCAGCTAGCAGATGTGCTTCTTCTGCTTGTGCATAAAGGCATGGAAAAGGTAACACTTTGCCAGACAAGCATATTCCCTTGGTGCAATGAGTCAAGACAGGTAATGGATGTCCATCAGATGAGAAAAGGATTATTCTCTCATATTTAATGAATTGAGTGCTGCCTTTGCCATTTACTCACAATTTTATTGCTTTTCTGTTCTGTTCAGGGTACTGGAGAGATCAGTTATTTCCTCGTCCTCTTCTCTTTAATCTTTCCCACTGGCATTAAAGGATAATGAAAGGCTCAGTGCAGGTAATCCAAGATACCAAGTTTCATACCACCTGTACAGATGGGGTGTGAAAATAAATTATGCTCCTTTCACTACCTGGCTTCTTTCAGTTTATCCCCCTGAACAGAAATGAAGAAGTTCTTAATGAAAATACTTCCATCCAGGATGGAAAAACATCCATTTGCTCACATGCTTGATATTGACACCAAGGAATCAACTTGTGCAATAATGTTCTTGAAAGCTTTTGATGGATTGCTTATTAAGACTTGATTGCTATGGAGCCATCTAGTTGGCCAAGTGAAATCTTGAATCAAAGTTTCCAAAGTCTTGGTTTGCACACTAGATCAGATCTGACTTCATCACAGAAGAAGAGGAGGAGGAGGAGGAGGAGGAGAAGGAGAAGGAGTTTGGATTTGATATCCTGCTTTATCACTACCCAAAGGAGTCTCAAAGCGGCTAACAATCTCCTTTCCCTTCCTCCCCCACAACAAACACTCTGTGAGGTGAGTGAGGCTGAGAGACTAAGGTCTCCCAGCAGCTGCATGTGGAGGAGTGGGGACGTGAACCCTGTTCACTAGATTAGAAGTCTACTGCTCTTAACCACTACACCACACTGTAATTAATTGATGGAATTCACCAGGAGACTTGGCAACAGCACTTGCAGGCCTGGACATCTACACCTCGCATGGTGGAACAAATGTTGATGCCCCCAATACCTGGAGGGCCCACTGCTGCTGATGTCAGCTTCTTTCTTTTTTCTGATTTCTCTGTATGTATACGTATGTGTGCATGTATGTGCGTGTGTGCATGTATGTATGAAGGATGGATCAGGCCAAAGGTCCATCTAATTCAGCAATCTGATCTTACACATACCTATGGGCAGCCCACAAAAATTAGCACTCTCTCCAAATATGATTCTCAGCAACCAGTATTCAAGACATACTGCCTCTGAAAATGGTGTGGGTTTTAGGCAAAGCTGCACACATACTGTATATGTGTGTCTGTTAGGAAACAACATGCATGGAAATGCATACTTTTTTGTACAGCTAAAAAATAAATTGTCAATTGTTATGGAAATGAGGTGAACTGAATTTCAGATTAGAAAATTAGAAACTGACAGAAATCTAAATTGGCATGTTTATTCATCCATAGCTTCTCTCACCATATTCTTGTGGGTGTTGTTTAGACCAGGAGAGACTCTGACAGGTTCAAGAATGTTCTTTTCAGAGCATTGTTCCAGTTTGGGGTGAAGGTTGCCAGAAGAAGCACTGACAGGGTTCTGTCATGGATCCATCTTTCCACATTTAAAGCAGGTGCTTGGGTTTGTTCATATAGGCCTTTATATGTTGGCAATGCTGACTGCATTGAAATGTATAAGTGTTTTGCTCTGGGCTGCTATGAGTTTAAAATAGCTGATTCCAACTTAAATGAGATTTTTCCTGGTTTCATGGGATATGATACATGTTAGATTTCTTGTCTTTCTTTTCTTTTATGCTAACTACTTCAGATATATATTTTATATATAAAGTGGGAAATAAATCTACTAAATACATAACATTAAAGTAACTAAATATATCCCAACCTGACTATAAGATGGTTTCCCAGAACCATGAGAAACTACTTGTCATTTCTCTGAAATTAAGCATTGTAAATAAAACTAGCCAAGCCTTATATAGGAGTATGTGTATGTATGTATGTTTGCTTGCTTGCTTGTGTGTGTCCTTTCATAATAACCAGCAGGGATGGTGGAAAAAATTGTTTCAGTTACACATTTAAAAGCAAATCAATCTAATTTGTGCTTCAAGAAATAATACATAGATTAAATTATAGCCATCCTTAAATATTCACACTTCTCTGAATTTTGCAATGTAATTCCCCAATCAAGGAAAGTGAATTATATGCAAAACCTCATGCCCAATCATACTGAGTCTGTAAATTTATGCATGGCATGGATAAAGTGGATAGAGAAAAGTAAACAAACATGATGTATGGTTGGTTCCTAATTTGCTTTAATAGGCAACTTCCCCTGTTACTGTAGTGTATCATCAATATTATTATCATGTTTTAAAATGAGACTATTCATCTCAGGGTCATGGGTTTGAGCTCCATATTGTCAAAAAGAGTTCTGCATTGGAGAGAATTGGACTAGATGAACCTTGTGGTCTCTTCCAAAACCACAATTCTATGGTTCTATTAATTAACTTGAGGGTTCAGTATGGAGTTTGTATGGAAAATAGGGAGGTCATATCATCACTATCGGCCAGAGAAAAATGCAATTCTTCTGTAACTCTTTGAAATGCCTGGCACTTGTACACAAGGCTTAAGGCTGATCTGCTCTTTGACATTTGAATCACCTGTAATTGACTAGTCAAAAGTGTTGAGAAACACAATATATGCTCCCATCCATTTACAATCTCTCGCAGCTAGAAGAGTCATTGCTTTGTCCTTGAAACCAATTTCTTTGAACCTACAGTAATAATTGAAGAACAGCTTTTAAAAAATGTATGACTTTATATCCTACCTTCATACCAATGCTATAATTAATATTCCTATATCCTTTGGGTGTTGCATTTGAGATCCTCTTACAGCATTTTGTACTGAAGTAGAACAGGACGTTGCTATAAAGCTGACACTTGCATTCCACTCTTATCAGAACTTTGCCCTCTATTCTCTTTCGAAGTAAGAAGAATCTGACCGCCATACTCTCAGTCAGAATGATTGGAAGACATCCAGAGGAAACAACCATGTTCCCCCATATCCAACTCTGGTGGGCTTTCATGTCTGATGATCCTTTCTGGCAGCTTGGATAGTCTAATATAAGGCTGCATTTAATGTCCATCCTTTGAGTCCAGATAACAAATATTCTCCTTAGGAGTGATTATCTCAGCACTGTCCCTCACTGTCCCTCTGTTTTGTAAATCCTGCTCATCTTCTACTTGGGAACACAGGAATGTGCCTTGTACTGAGTCAGACTTTTGGTCCATCTAGCTCAGAATTTTTTACACTGGCTGGCAGTGCTCTCCAGGGTTTCAGACAGGTTTAACTCCCAGCTCTACCTGGAGATACCAGGGATTGAACCTGGGACCTTCTGCAGGTAAAACAGATGCCCTGTCACTGCTCATAGAGTAATATCATTCCCATTCAGCCAGAAGTATCCAGTAATACCAAGTATTCATGATGTGCAGAAAACATGTTTCTGTATATGATATAAATGCCATGAAAGCATTAGTTTCCCATGTTATACCTGTGATTATCCAGCATAAATCAAGCGACATTTTTCCACCTTCGCCGCATCAAGCAGTTGGTCCCTTACCTTTCCCGCCCTGACCTGGCCACAGTGATCCATGCGGCGGTCATCTCCAGGCTTGACTACTGTAATTCGCTCTACACGGGGCTGCCCTTGAAGCTGACCCAGAAACTCCAGCGGGTACAGAATGCTGCAGCGAGGCTCCTCACGGGGTCTCTGCCATGGGAGCATATTCACCCAGTGCTTTTCAAACTGCACTGGCTCCCGGTAGAGTACAGGGTCAGATTTAAGGTGCTGCTTTTGACCTTTAAAGCCCTTCACGGCCTAGGACCCTCGTACCTACAGGACCGCCTCTCCCAGTATGCCCCACGGAGAGCCTCAAGGTCCATAAATAGCAACACCCTAGTGGTCCCGGGCCCTAAGGAAGTTATATTGGCTTCAACCAGAGCCAGGGCCTTTTCAACTCTGGCTCCGGCCTGGTGGAACGCTCTGCCTCATGAGACCAGGGCCCTGCAGGATCTGATTTCTTTCCGCAGGGCCTGTAAGACAGAGTTGTTCTGGCTTGGAGCCAATTTGATTCCCTCCCTCTCTTTCTTTTTTCCTTTCCTTCTCCTCCTGTGATGAGGCTACATTTTAATATTTTAATATTTCAATATTTTAATGTTGTATTTTAATTTTCTTTTTAAGTTGTAATCATTCAACTTGTTTTTATTATTGCTTGTAAGCCGCTCTGAGCTCGGCCTTGGCTGGGGAGGGCGGGGTATAAATTAATAATAATAATAATAATAATAATAATAATAATAATAATGTCTCTGTCTCTCTTCACCCTCTCTTACAAGTAGGGTGCTGCAGGGTTCTGTCCTGGGTCTGTTGTTGTTCAATGTCTTGGATGAAGGAATTGAGGGGATTCTCATCAAATTTGCAAATGACACCAAACTGGGAGGGATAGCTAATGCAACAGAAGACAGAATTGGGATTCAAAGGTACTTTAACAGATTGCAGAACTGGGCCAAAACTAACAGAATGAATTTCAAGAGAGACAAATGTAAGATTTTGTACTTAGGTAAGAAGAACCAGATGTACAAATATAAGCTGGGGGATACATGACTTACTAGTAATATATGTGAAAAGAATCTGAGGTCTTAGTGGACCATAACTTTAACATAAGTCAACAGTGTGATGCAGTAGCAAAAAATGTTAATGCTATTCTAGGCTGCATCAACAGAACTATAATATCCAGGTCAAGGGAAGTAATAGTTCCATCGTATTCTGCCTTGCTCAGACCACACCTTGTGTCCAGATCTGGGTGACACATTTTAAGAAGCATATTGACCAGCTGCAACATGTGCAGAGGAGGGCAACCAAGATGATCAAGGGTCTGGAAACCAAGCCTTATGAGGAATGGTTGAAGGAGCGGTTATGTTTAGCCTGGAAAAGAGGAGACGTGGCAGCCATCTTCAAATACCTAAAGAGTTGTCACATGGAAGATGGACTCTCCTTCCTTGGAGGTTTTTAAGCAGTGATTGGATGGCCATCTGTCATGGACACTTTACTTGAGATTCCTGCATTGTAGGAGGTTGGACTAGATGGCACTTGGGTTCCTTCCAGTTCTACAGTTTTGTGATTCTCTGTCTCTTTGTCTCTTTCATCAGACTTCCTTCAGCACAAAAACAGGAAGTAGAGGAGGGTGCGGATGGAATCACCTTCTCCTAAATTGGTGATCGTTTTAGAACAGGTATAAGGAAACTTCAGCTACAGATGTTGCTGAACTACAACCTTTGCTATCCCTAGCCACTGGCCATTCCTGCTAAGGCTGATTGCAGTTGTAGTTCAGCAACATCATGAGGTTAAATGTTCCCCACACCTGGTTTAGAGTTCCATGAAGCCCAAGAAGGCATAGTCAGTAACATTTTACTATAAGAGTTCCTACCTTCAAGAATCCCTTTTAAAGCCTCAGAGTCCATGAATACACAAATCTTGCTTTCAGTCTTCCAATAAGCATCTGGTTTGCCACTGTGACTTGACTGCAACATGCTCACCCTGCCTACTTGCACAGGCCATTGTGTCTGGAATGCGGAAGTTCTATGCCTTTGGGCAAGCCACCAATGACTATGTTCTAATTTCTGCTTAGAGGTCTCAGAAGACCAGCTGCTTGAAATCACAAGTAGGGAGAGCACTGTTATATCCATATCTAGCTTGCAGTCTGCCCACAGGCATTGGTTGGCCACTGTGAGAAGAGTGTGTTAGGTGAGAGGAACATTTTCCTTTATTTAACAGCCAGGCCCCTCTCATGTTCTTTCTATATACTGGCCTTGCACCTCCATTTGTAAAGACAGAAAGATGGTAACCTATTTCTTAAAACTGCTATGTAGAGTAAACACACATAAAACAGCAAAGAACTGAACTGAAATGAAAATGCTATTTAAAAGATAAATGTGGAGTTAGAAGCCTATTCTGTTTTGTTTTGTGAGTAAACATCCAGAGACCTAAAATTTGGGAAATGTCATCATTAATCTTCTGTCATTGATTCTGAATAATGCAGCAAGGCTTTATGAAACTGTCATTGGAGAAAAAAAATGAGAAGAAAAATACCCAAAATGGAGACAACAGAGCTACAAGATGCACCATAGGAATTGTACATAATTAAAACTTGGATTTTTATTTAGCTTCCAAACCAATAGCCTCACTAAAGTCACACAGATATCAGAGGTATGCACCAACCACATGATTTGGTTCAGACACCAAGCTAACACTCTGGAAAAGAGCCTTATGTTGTCCAAAGTGATTTGGAGGCTGTCAGTTCTGGCTCGGGGCCCAAATCTCAATTCAGAGGGGGGGAATGTTTTGTGTTTCCCCCATTCACTATTATGAGGAACTCAAAAAATGGCTATAATGTCCCCCCCCCTTTTGACGGAATTGGATCCATCCATTCTCCAACCGCCTCCAGACACTCGCACAGGATATTTACCACCTTCACCAGTTCTGATTTAAAAGAGAGGTAGAGCTGAGTATCATCCACATACTGATGGACACCCAGCCCAACCCCCCTGATGATCTCTCCTGCGCCTTCATATAGATCTTAGAAAGTATGGGGGAGAGGATAGAACCCTGACACACCCCAGAAGTGAGAGTCCAGGGGTCCAAACACTCTTCCCCACAACACCACTTTCTGAACATGGCCCAGGAGAAAGGAGCGGAACCACTGTATAACAGTGTCCCCAGCTGGGATGACACCCAACTTTCAGTCATGAATGACATTTGAAGCCTTAGCATAAGAGTAGAATATTTTACCAACATGAGATATTTTAAAATGTTTATGCATGTATCAAGTTGTTTTAATTTTAGTCAGGTCTACTTTTTAAATGTTTAATGCATTCAAGCGTTGCATTCTCAGACAGTTGCAGACATTGGTCTGCTGGTCTTACACAGGTATCATATTTGTAACTATTAGCATACAGACAGGATATGATTAAATGCACTTGTGATAAAATGTGACACCATATAATAAATGAGGAGGGGGTGGGGGGCCATTTGTTACCATAAATCATATAGTGAAATTTGTATGACAAGCTCACATCAACAAAGACAATGTAGAAATAACAAATGCCAAGCATGTCATCTTCAGGATAAAAAGAGTAATTTCTAATTCTTAATAGTATAATTATCTTAATGTTATCCTTTGGTTGAAATTCATTTCTTCATAATGAAACAATTTCTTGTTGGGCTACAAGTGCAGTCATGGAACAAGTAATTCATTCAAGGTTTCATTCCAATTTGACAGATATCAATCAAAGTCCTTCCCCCACCGTACATTAAATAAGACCTTGAAGCATGCCATCCTTTCCAGATAAACTTTTTTATTATTATTAAAGAAAAAAACTAGAAAGCTTAGCTAAGTAGGACAGGGCATAACTATGTCATGCTTCTTAAGGTTTATCCATGAAAATGATCTTTAAAAAACAATTGACTGTAACAGACTGCGTATTTTACTTGGTAACAAAACAAAATCTCCCACACTACACTAAAACACATTGCTATTCCTCTCACAATGAACCCTGAGTGGAGATGGCGGGGGGAGTTCTCTTGTTAAAGAAAAAGGAACAAAAAAGTATGTCAATTTTGCAATGAAAATTCAAAGAACATAGAAGAGCAAAACAACTGAGGATGTCCTCAGAGCTTTCTACCCCTGAAATTTGTTCTCAGCTCATTAGCAGAAAATCTATGGGAAGATGGAATAGATTAAAAAAACCAAAACACTTCACTGAGAAACAGAACACGGTAATACCTGAACCTACCATCTCCTCAGTGTGGTGCACTGGTTAGAGTGTCAGACTAGGACCTGGGTTCAAATCCCCACTCAGTCATGAAGCTTATTGGGTAGTGTTGGGTCACTTACAGTCTTTCAGCCTAACTTGCTTAATCGGTTGTTGTGAAGTTAAAACAGGGATGGGAAGAATCATGTACACCACTTTGAACTCCTTGGGATAGCTCAGCCAGTAGAGTTTGAGACTCTTAATCCCAGGGTCATGGGTTTTGAGCCTAACTTTGGGCTAAAAATTCCTGCATTGCAGTGGGTTGGACAAGATGAGCCTTGTGGTCTCTTCCAATACTATGATTCTAAAATGGATATAAATGTAAATGTAAGTAGAACACATGTTTTCCCCTTAACAGTATCTACTTGACTTGCTTATGGCAGGAGGACCTCAGACCACAACATTAAAACCAGTACTTAAAGAAAATAGGTGTTTCCCTCCACTTGTTTTAGACTGCATCTCCCATCTTTCTCAATCAGCATCACAGTACTGTCATCAGCTCCAACATCACAAAGGACAGGCTGGGCTTTGGGGAGTTGTAGTCCAAAACATCTGAAGGACACGAGACTGGAGAATGT